GATGAGGATATCATAAAAAAAACTAGGATAAACTTTCACAAACGGACGAACAAGGGTTTGGTCTGGTGGTAATATCAATAGCCTTGAACCTGGAGGTCTCAAGTTCGAATCCATTAACTAGTACTTAATCACAAAAAGTAATTTATATCACCCTTATCTAAACAAAAACTTTCAGAAACGGGGAGAAAAAACATGGTTCATAAGGTCTTGGAAAGTAGCTGGTGCATTTGTTAAACCAAAGGGTATCACCTTGAACTCAAAATATGGTTCATAAGGGTTGTAAAGTAGCTGGTGCATTGGTCAAACCAAAGAGAATCAACTTGAACTCAAAGTGGCCATGATGTGTTCTAAAGGCATTTTTATATTGATCTGCATGATTCATTCTCACTTGACGGTAACCAAAAGAAGGTCGAGTTTGGTAAATAATTTGGCACCCCTAGCTCATCTACCAGGTTATCATTGACTATAATAGGGAATTTATCTTTGATAGTGATGGAATTTAGTTTCCTTTAGTCAATGCAAAATCTCCAGGTTCCATCTTTTTAAGTACTAAAAAGGACCAGAGAGGTAAGAGGACTTCTGCTAGGTTGAACAAAACCAACAACAAGCATTTCATCGACCATTTTTTCTAATTATATTTTCTTTGGTAATGGATATTTCTAAGGACGTAGATTTACTGGATCACCTACAGGTATGAGAGGGATTGTGTGGTCACAGGGACGAGAGGGAGGTTAGGAAGTTGGTTTGCAAACACATCTTTGAACTCCGATGGTATAGGTTGCACAGAAGAAAGAGTTTTACTTGGGGAAGGTTTTACAGTCATGGTGAAAAAGTGACCAGCCCAACTTTGTACTTTCTACATGATCAACTTGAGAAAATTCTATCCAGACATGGCCTTGAAACTGCCTAACTCTCGTATACCCTTCAATACAATCTCTTTACCATCTTTTTCAAAGAACAACTGCAGGTTCACAAAGTCAAACTTGACAGGACTTAGGGTTCGAATTAATCCAACCCTTGAACCATGTCATTAGTTTCCAGTTGTAACAATCTGGTATCATGCACAAATTTCTACTCCTGCATTGTCCAACAAAAGTTCTTGCACACCTTGTTGCTCAACAAAGATAATGCCATCATCAAACTTAACCCTCAAGGGGGTAGAATCCACTATCTCCCACTTTATACCCACAACTTTTTTGTTCATTTAGAAATGTGTGAGTACTGTTAGTGTCCACTAATATGAGCATAAAAGCTTACTTCACTTTCCCTTTGATGACTAAGTAATAAGCCACCACACCACTGCTCACGTCATGCATGGTTACATCCTCAGTTTCATGATTCAATTGATCAGATCCCCTTAACTTCTTCCTCCTAGATACATTGGATGCCTCTTTTGTCTTGGACAATTGAAAATCTTGAGTAAGTAACTGTGGTTGCCATATAGTAACCACTGGCCTGAGCTCCTCCTCCAAACCACTAATGTAAATATACACGAAATAATCCTCATCCAAAGCCATGTACCTCATTATCTACGATTTCAATTCGTTGAACTTCTACCGATAATCCAACAGTTATCCTCACTGTCTGCGTTTGTTGAATTCACCGGATACACCTCCAAATGACCAATCACTAAACCTACGATACAGGACAACCACAAAATCCTCCCAAACTAACTCCCTATGGTGAGCATCCCACCCTGCAAAACAAATACTTGACCGCTACTCAAAATAAATCACAATTAGCCAAACTTTATGGGCTCGTTTGCGTCGTGGATTTGAAAAATGAAGGTTTTGGTATAACTTGTGTTTTGAAAAACCATGGATATATGAGGGTTTTAGGTTCATTATAGATTTGATAAACACCATTGTTTGTTTGATGGATTTCATGATGGATTATGTTAATTATTATGTTAATTAAATTTGTATGTATGAAGTGTAGTTTACCTTTCTTGCCCTCAATGATATAAGAAGAGAAAACAAATATGAAGGGTATGTTGATAAAAAATGATGGACTTCAAAGTCCATAATCAATTCTCACCTAAATAGGTGGAACTTTCAAGTTTGTGGGGTCCAGGGATTTGGTCCCTTAAAGTTCGTAGGACCCAGAGATTTGTTTTCCCTAAATGCATGAAGCAAACAATGGATTTTGGACAAAGTCCATGATGGATCCAAATCCCTCACCAAATCCATCAACATATCCATCAAGCAAACAAGCCCTATATGCATTTGGAATGATGTAGATCTCAAACTTTATGTGCATTGCGAAGGAAGGAAGAAAAATGGAGGGAAATGAAAATTTGAAGGGGAAGGAAAAGGAAGAGAGAGAAAACTTAGAGGGGAGAGAAAATATCGTTTTATGGTGGAAAGTGAAAGGAAAGTGGAGGAAAAAAATATATTAGAAAGTGTGATAGACATGTTATTTGGATAAATTACACGTTTGGTCACTCAAATTATATAAAACTTTCATGTTTGTCATTCAAATTACTTTTCTTTTTTATTGACCACTAACTTTACAAATCTTATCACCGTTAGTTACCGGCCGTCAAGTTCTGTCAAACTCCGTTAAGGCTGGTAGATTTTTTTGTGAAGTGGCAAACAGAATTATTGGGATGAGAGAAGACTGAACTGGAATTATTATTATTATTATTATTCTGCTTCTTCCTTACAACATAACCCAACTCACCAATGTCGGCCCTCCTTTCCCCTCGCTGCTTCTTATCAACTTCTCATCCTCCTTCCACCTCTTTGCTTCTTCTCGACATACTCTCTGTCTTCCCTCTTCTATCAAACCCAGACAGACAAATAAGAACCCCAAATCGCACTATCCTCCTCCCTCGATCTCAATTTTTCGGTGCTCTGCTCTCGTCAACGGTGAGAGAACGAAGATGGCAAGTGGTCTATTGCTTCTCAATGCTTGTCGATTTTTAGGGTTTTCGTTTGATTCCGAGTTTAAGGAGTTTTAATTTGATTTTTAGGGGTGATTATGTTTTGGAAGGTTTCCCTAGATCTGGAAGAAGAAACTGGGGACGACGACAACTACGGATCGATGTTGATTCGTGCAGCGGCCGATGACGATGGCGTGGATTCCCGACGGAGGCTGTAGCGGTGGTCTTAAGAGGAAACTGTAGCGATTGATCTTGGATCCGATGGAGACGGGAAAGCTTGGTGGTGCAGTCGGTCACGGAAATAACTCCGACGGTGGAGGCTGCGACAAATGAGATTTGGGTTTTTTTTGGGAAAGGATGAACGAAACGGAAAGTGGTGTTGGATATGGAAATTTAGTGACGATTTGTGGTGTTGAATTGAAACGGAGATGCATCTGGACGGAGATCAGAGGGAAGAAAGGTAGAGGGCTAGAGGCTCAAGAAACAGGTGGTAAAGCTTTTTTTATTAAGGGTAATGGGTGTCTCTCCCTAGGAAATCGAGAGAGGGGAAGAAGGATTGGGACGGGTAACTTTTTGTATCTTTCTTTTATTTTTATTTTGTTTTGTCGACAAGGCAGTCAAATTGTATAACTCAGCTTTTTTCAGCCCAGTTGTCACTCCTGTTTGCCACATCATTAAAATTTTGACGACGTTAGTGGAGTTTAACGGAGACAAACGGTCGGTGACTATTGGTGAAACGAATTGTAAAGTTAGTGGCTAATAAGAAAGAAAAGTAATACGGGTGGCAAACGTGAAATATTTATGTAATTTGAGTGACCAAACATGTAATTTAGCCCATGTTATTTTATTGATTATGTAATAATAAAATAGTTTAATTATATATGTTGATATTATTTTCATTATTTATGGATACTTGATGTTTTTAAAAGGAACTTAACATATTTTTACATCTCAAGTAACAGTTTTATGTATCGCGCAAAACAACATTATATGTGAGGTAAATCACTCATTTGATCCAATCTAAATGTTAATTTGCTCTAAGTACCGAATCGCATATAACATATAATGTAAATACACATTCATATAATATCAATATTTAAATGTTTAACTTAGAATTCCAAAAGTAGAGTAGCGAGAAAAAAACCGAAAAAATGTGATCTACAAACTCAACAGAAATTTGAAACCGTATGACCTCCGGTCAAAATATCTTCTTGCGAGTCGACTCGGAGGTGTCTGGCGCACGTTATCCTCACCGGATCTGAGCTAATTCGACTCGCAAATTAACAACCTTTTTTTTTATTACCCAGGAACCTCAACCCCACATGCCACTTTGTGACAGAATGTCCTACTAAATTTGGGGGTCACCTGCAATCGAATTCGACGCCAACAGAGCTTCGCCCCCAGCAGCCTTGTACCTCCGGGAACACCAACGAGCCTCGTTTGGATTCGAACCTGAGATCTACAACTCCCAAACCTTCATTGTTGCGACAACTTTACCATTATACTATCTTACCTTTGGTGCAAATTAACAACCTTAATTACAATTTATAATAATATTTGTTCTCACCCATAATTATCCCATAAAATTTTCCCTGCCCCCACCTTCCAAATAAATAATAATATTTTATTAGTTAATTAATAACTAAGAGGACGATAAACCAACACTCTTCATTATGTTAAAAAATAATAGTTTATTAGTTAATCAGCTATAATGAGCTGTCATAAATCCGTTTGCCACCACTGAAGCCCGTAATTCCCAGGGACGAAGCCCATTTCGTTTCTCGGTGGCGAAAGGGCCCAAGCTTGCCCTAGGCAAACCGTCTCGCCGTGGCAAGTCTAAGAAAGGGCCCTACCCGAGCCCAATGGAGGTGGATGTCCCAATCAAGCCTCACCTAGAGGCCGGTCGGACAAAACGGGCCCGAGTGGTGGCTGCTGATGCCTCGGTCGATGTGGCTCTTAGGAAAGCTGGGTCTGCTAATCGACAGCGAGGTATCTCACCTGTTCCCAGCACCTCGGGGTTCCCAAAAAAGAAGTTTAAGGGCGGCCGAGACATCGGAGGCTGATCCTGGAGGAAGAATCGGAGGAGGAGTTCATACTCAGTGAAATTCCCTCCCCCATGCAATCGAATGACTCGACTAAAGTTGGGGTACCTCATCGGCGCTGCCCTTCTGAAAATATTGTGGTGGATGCAGTTCCGCTTAGGCAGATTGCCCCTGCGCATAGCAATGATGACGGGTTATGCCACCTCTCCCGGGAATCGCTTATCCAGTTGAGGAAGACTCGGGTGACAGGCTCGGGAGGCGGAGGGAAAGTGGCGGAGAAGCAGAAACAGCCGCCGAAGGGAGAGATAGGGAAGATGAAAGGCAATGAGCCGGAGTTGGATCTGAAAGGGGTGGAAAAATTGATTCCAAATTCTGAGTCCAAACCATCAAAAAAAATTATGAGTCCTGGGAATCGGCTGAAATGACATCGGAAGATGAGTGTCCGATATTTGAAGTTCGGCGACGGTTTCCTCAGGGGAATGAGAGCCTTAAACGCTTGGCCCGATCAAACCGGGCGAACCAAGTGGTTCAAGGCTTTGAAAAGGGGATGGCCATGACTGAAGTCGAGCCGCCCATGGCCACGCAACTGAATCACAATGGGGGTGCTGCAACAGGTATCGCAATTGATGAATATGGCTCTAATATTATTGAGAAGGCGACGGGCAATAAGAAACGTCATTTGGATGAGATAGTTGTGGAGGTTGCGGAGACCCCGACCCCAAAAAAATAATTCGTGGAAGACAAGGACGAAACTGAATAGGTGGAGGAAGCCAGCCTGGAATGTGAGAGGAATTGGACCATCCCTCACATTCCACACAGCTATTGGTTTAGTTCATTCTAATAAACCGGATCTCGTGTTTTTTCTTAAACACGATCGAGACGGAAATTAGTTGCCCGACATTTGCGGGGCCTAGGTTTTATCTCTTCTTGTTGTTTTTATGTTGATGCGGTTGATGCATCAGGTGGTTTGGTTGTGGCTTGGTCCCCCGGAGTTGATGCTTCGATGTTCTTTCATTCGGAATTTTGTATTTGTGTTCAAGTTAATGAAATGAACGTTTCGTATGTGGTGATCTTTGTCTACATTAGTTGTCATGTTGCTGTAAGAGCCACCCAGCTCGAACAATTGTGCGATATATGAGGTGGTGTCTTTAGTCCCTATATTATTATAGGTGACTTTAATACTACTCTGCACGAGAGTGAGAAAGACGGGGGTAACCAATGGAATGCTCTTCACTCGCTTAGCCTACGTGATTTTATCCATGACATGGGCCTCATTGATCCGGGGTACCAAGGGGATCCATTTACCTGGACGAACAAACGGATGGGAGTTGCATGTATCCGTGAACGCTTGGATAGAGCTCTTTGCTCCCAAACCTGGCTAGATCGATTCCCTGATACCCTGGTGAAACACTTTTCGGGCCAGGGATCCGATCATCGGGCGCTCCTGCTATCTGATAAGCCTTATGTCCGTAATAGTCACCCGCTATTCAGGTTTGATGCTCGATGGGCGGATAATCCGGAAGTTAGAGTCATGGTGACTTATGTCTGGCAAGAAGAGGTCCAAGGAACCCCCATGTCTCGACTATGGGAACGTCTCAAGAAACTACGTCATTTGCTGTATGATTGGAGCAGAGCAGGAACGCCAAATTCTTTGCGAAACATCAAGACTCTGTAGACAGAAATTGATTGAATCAAACAAATCCATCCCATTGACTGGGATGAGGTCCGTTTCCTTGAGATTGAGTTAACTAGGCAATGGGAATCGGAGGAAGAGTACTGGCATAAAAAATCCAGGGTCTGTTGGCTCAAAAAGGGGAACAAAAACTCATCGTATTTCCATACGGTGACGAGGACTTGACGGAAACGTAATTTTGTGAGTGGGCTCCGGGCCGATGATGGTGAGTGGATCACAGATGAGAAAGGTAAAGCAGATATTGCTACAAACTTCTATCGTAACCTTTTCACGTCCGAAAACCAGGTCCGGAATATGCATAGCCGGATACAGGATCTGCCCATTGCCCAAAGTGTAACCCCAGCAATGAATGAGGCTTTGACGATTGTCGTGCTCCTAGAGGAGGTACGCAAAACTGTGTTTGCTATGGGTTCGAAGCAAGCCCCTGGGTTAGACGGCTTCATGGGAAAAAAATTTCAAGGCCTTCTGGGATATTGTGGGGCCCTCGGTAATTGACGCAGTTTGCTCGTTTTTTACTTCAGGCGGACTGCTCCGCAGTTTCAACCACACTTGGCTCACATTAATTCCTAAAGTTGATAATGTGGAGACAATGAGGCAGTTGCGACCAATCAGTTTATGTCAATTTATTTACAAAATTATAACCAAAAATTTGGCAGAGCGGTTGGTCAATGTCCTACCTCATGTGGTCTCGGAAGGTCAGAATGGCTTTATCAGGGAGCGTCAAATTGTGGACAATATCTTACTTGGGCATGAGCTCATGTATTACCTAAAAACCAAAACTCAGGGGAAGAAATGGTTCATGGCCCTAAAGGTTGACATGAAAAAGGCCTATGATAGAGTCGAATGGCCTCTTCTTCTTGCGGTTTTAGAAAAATTGGGGTTTAGTTCTGTTTGGGTAGGATGGACCAAGGAGTGCCTCAGTTCCGCATCATTTTCTGTTATGTTGAATGGCACCCCTTCTGGCTACTATTCTCCCTCCAGAGGATTGCGCCAGGGGGATCCTTTGTCTCCTCTCCTTTTTGTGCTTTGCACTGAGGGGTTTGCAGCTCTTCTCCGGAAGGCGATATCAGAGAAAAAACTGGTCGGGATTAAAGTGGCCCCACGTGCCCCAAGACTATCGCATTTATTTTTTGCGGATGACTCCTATTTGTTCCTTCGAGGCACGCTTCAGGAATGTGAAAACCTTATTGAGGTCTTGAATGAATATGAGGAATTGAGTGGCCAGAGGGTGAATCTAGCTAAATCGGCGGTTTGCTTCAGTAGGAATATAGTCCAACAGGACCAAGAATTCTTGGCGGCAGTTCTGGGGGTTGGGGCCGTTGGGGTCCATGATAAATATTTGGGTCTCCCGTCTCTGATTGCGAGGTCCAAGATGGAGACTTTCCACTACTTGGAAACCAAACTGTTGGAGAGACTCCAGGGTTGGAAGTAGAGGACGCTTTCATGGGCAGACAAGGAAACCCTCATCAAGTCTATTGCTCTGGCTTTGCCATTGCATGTGATGTCCTGTTTCAAGCTATCTTTGTCCCTGTGCCGTCTATTAGACAAGCATGTTGCCCGGTTTTGGTGGGGTGAGAATGAAGGCCATCTGAAGGTGCGGTGGATGTCCTGGCGGGACATGTGTTGGAGAAGGCATTATGGGGGGATGGGATTTTGCCAGTTTGAGCATTTTAATCAGGCGCTCTTAGCTAAATTTGGTTGGCGTATTCTTAGTGAACCCCACTCCCTGCTTGCCCAAATCTATCAAGGTAAATATTTCCCTAATGGACATTTCCTAAATGCTAAAGCTCGGTCTAGACCATCGTGGGGCTGGCAGATTATCTTGTTTGTTCGACAACTATTAGAGATGGGTTTACGATGGCAGGTTGAGAATGGGCGCTCGGCATCCATGCTTCACTCTACATGGGTCCCTGGTTTCCAATTTGAGCCCCTGCGCTATAATCCTCAGGTTCTACCGGATGGTGGTGACCCACTGGTGGCGGAACTAATTTGTCAAGGGGAGGGGCGCTGGTGTGATCAAAACCTTAATCAGTTGTTTGATCCTGCAACGTGTCGTATTATAAAAGCCATCCCTCTCCTGCGGGACAATGTTGAGGATAGGCTAATTTGGCATGATACAGCGGATTGGGAGTTCTCGGTTAAATCGACGTACCATCTGGCTGTCTCTTTAGAGAAAAGGAGGGGTTGTTGCGGTCCTCTGTTCCTTAAGAATCAGCTGGCATTAGTTCAACAGCCACCGCTGTGGATGGCCATTGTTGCGGTCCTCTGGCGGATTTGGAAGTCCCACAACTGGGTGGTGTTTGAGGGCAAACAGTATGGACTTCCGGATCTGATGCGGCAGTTTACGCAGCAATATGAGGAATGGGCGCGAATCCCAGTGGAGGACACTCAACTGGCCTGACTCGCTACGACACAACTCCTAACAAAGGCCAAGGGTAACCAATGAAAGGGACTGCAGTATAGTGGCTCAAGTGATAAATATCGAATCCACGGGTCTCTAGAGTTACTATTACTCAGCTTCAGTTTATTATTTAGCAAACCAGATTAAGATGAAAGAACTAAAACTACTCTAGCAAACTACAGTTAAAGTTAATCTAATTACAGGTTGGGAACTCACTTAGGTATGATTCCCCCTAGCCACTAGCCAGATTAATGATTGATGATCTCTAACCTGTTTCACTTTCATTCACAATGCGGAGAATCCTTAACTAGACCTTGAGTCTCGACTAAAGGAACAAGGCCCTCTTGAGTCAATTGCCTAGAGGGACGTATCCTTCTCTAGAACAACCGATCAAGGCATTCTGAACTAGACTCCCTCTATCAAAAGAGATTCTCAATCGATACAAAGCAGTGAATCGACCCTCGGCTAAAGTAATCGATCCAATACTATCAATCTATGGTGCTCTATTGACCTAATCAGGTATTCGCTCTCATAGGATCAAAGCAGAATCAATAATCTCGACTAAAGTAGAATTGAATCATGAAAACATGCATAGATTGAGTATGAACTCAAGATTATCAAATAAGAGCACTCATACAATCATCCAATCAAACAAACATAGCTAGGGTTCCTCAAAACCTAAGTGAATGGAAGTTACTCCATAGAGAAGAGAGAGACTACAGTAAGAATCTTCAGATGATCAGTCTTCAAGTCCGGGCTTGTTCCTCGAGCTTCCAAGGCAAAGAAATCCTCCAATTCCACTCTTAGAATGCCCTCAAATCGCCCTCTCTCTCTTTGGTTCGTCCCTTGGGTGTTTGGGATCCAAAACCCAGCTCTCTCTCCTTTGGCTCGAAATTGGCTTAAAAAACCCGATTCTGGCAAAACAATGTCGAGGACACGGCCGTGTTTTGCTTTTTCCCGCCGTGTTTTGCCCTGTGTTAAAAACACGCCCGCGCGCGTCGGCCAAAACACGGTCGTGCCTAAATATGGACACGGCCGTGTTTGGATTTAGGCGCGCCCGTGTTTTTACCGCCGAACCTGTTCCCCTATATTCAATGCTTCGTTTCTCCCTCATCCGGACTCCGAATCAGTCGCCGTTTGATCCCAGACGCTCGTAGTCTCGTCCTCTTTCTTTTCATGACAATCTTGCATGATTCTTTGTCCATAAAGTGAGGTAGAAATCCATTCTTCTTCAGGTCATGCCTTAGTTTCTTCTCCCTAATCGCCAATTGATCTCTGATTGACTTGAAACTTGCGCCTATGCTTCACTTTATGTGCTAGGACCTGAAATG